AGAGGAAGAGGGAGGACGCACCATTTTTGGATCGAATCTGAACAGAAAATGCTAAGTGATCGGAAGAGGGACAAAGTATGAGCATAGGTCAGCCGAACAGCATTTGTCAACATCCTGCAAAAAGTGTCTTTGGTTTTTCTTTCTGTGCTCTCGTGATTGAATTCTAGATTTGCAAAATATAAGCTATATTTATTTCAAAAAAAAATCTTATTCCGGTCCCCAATTAGATTAAAATCTTACGATTTTAAGATTTTACAAGTCAAAAACAATTTTGATCTCAATAATTAAGATCTTAAGATCAACATGTTCTGATCTCACGTTTTTAGTTTTATTATATAAGCATCGCAAGTTACTAGAAGCCATATAGAGCATCTTAACTTCATCTCAAATTAGACGGGTAACATACATGATATTTCATTTGTGATATTAATATTTTAGTTGTAGATCATAATGATTTTGTTTATTTTTGTAATTAAGATGTTTCTTCCTAAGTTTTACGATTTGCAACAACAAAAATTATGATTCATATTTAAAAAGATAAAGTTGTGATGCAAAACTTAGTAGTTCAAATTGTCAAAACAACAGGGTAAAGAACGAGTTCTAAGGGTGCGTTTGGTTGTGGAAAATTTTCCAGTTTTCTAGGAAAATTTTTCAAGAAAAACGGAAATTTTGAAAACGCGTTTGGTTCGTTCAGTTTTCCAAAGTTTTCTAAGAAAATGAAAATTTTCAGTTTTCCAAATTGTATGTAAATTAGAAAAATGATTTTTACAGTTTTCTAAAGTTTTCCAAATTTCTAAGATAGAAAATGAAAACTCCACCCGTTCCAACCAAACACGTTTTCATTGAAAATTGAAAATGAAAACTTAACCCTATTTTCTGAAAACATTTTCATAGAAAATAAAAACAGTTTTCCACAACCAAACGCACCCTAAAGGTCTCGGTAAATTTTATTCTCAAAAATCAAAATCATCAAATCCTCCAGGAAAACAAAAACATACTTACATACAGGGAAAAAAGAATTACCCTACGAAAAAAAAGGAAAGTAACTAAAATATTGCTAGGATTTCAATTAGAGATATACTCCATAAATAGAGATAATCTATTAATAAAAATCTTTATTATTAAAATAAAGAAAGAAATAAATTAAAACAGGACAAAATCAGCCCATATTAGGTTGTGATCGGATGCCCTTGCATTATCCTCCCCATCTTAGAAAAGACTCGCCATCGAGTCTGCTACTGCATCCACACCCCCCTTCAAATGACGATAAATCAACCACATTAAAAGTAGCTGAATTATTATAATGACCAGGTAGATCAATTTTTATGCATTGTCATTAATCTTCTTAAGAACTCGAAAAGGACCATCAGCACGAGGTTTCAACTTCCCAAAACGACCAGCTAGAAAACGCTCCTTCCTTAGATGAATTCAAACTAGATCACCTTCCTTGTAGACAACTTGCTTCCTATGCTTGTTGGCACGGTTTTGATTATGCTTGATAATCTGATCATGTACCATCTGGTGGAGGGTTTTAATCTGGTGGGATTGATCTTCGGCTTCAACACTAACATGGTCAACCAGGGGAATGGGTGTTAAATCAAGCGGAGTAAGCGGGTCTCGACCATAAACTATCTATCATGAATGGACTCATCCCTGTTGTACGATTAATAGAATGGTTGTATGCAATTCAACTTGAGCAAGGGTGAGATCTCACTGCTTGGGGTTATCACCGACAAGACTTCGTAACAGATTTCCTAAACTCCGGTTTGTGACTTCTGTTTGACCGTCCGTTTGCGGATGGTGAGAGCTACTAAATTGCAAACTTGACCCCATGCTTTTCCAAAGTGTACACCAAAAATGGCTAATGAAATTTACATCCCAATTCGAGGTTATAGTCTTTGGAACTCCATTGTGCTTAACAATTTCAGAAAAATACAACCGTGCAATTTGACTCGCATCATAAGTTTTAGCACAGGGTACAAAATGAGTCATTTTAGAAAACCTGTCAACAACTACCATCACCGAATCTTTTTGTCTTTGAGTTCGGGGTAAACCCAACCCAAAATCCAAACTAACATCCTCCCATGGGGCAACGGGAATAGGTAATGGTGTATAAACTCGTATTGGTGTGGTGGGTTTTGGCCACATGACATATGCAACATTGCGCAATGATGTGGGCAACATCTCGCTCCATTTTGGGCCAATAAAAACGACCATGGATTAAAGCCATGGTCTTGTCCCTTCCAAAGTGACCTGCAAGACCTCCAGCATGGCTTTCTAATATAACTGAGTCCTACAAATAAGCTCATAGGGACACATAAGCGGGCACCCTTAAAAAGGTAACCCTTATGCTTTGAAAAATCGCGAAGAGACTTGTCTTGGAAGTTATTCCAAATAGTTCTGAAATCTTGATCATCCTGGTATAGTTCTCGGAATTTATCAAAGCCACAGACCTAGAATTTCATCTTTGAAGTGAGCACGTGTCGTCGACTTAGAGCATCAACAACGGTATTTGAGGTCCCAGCCTTGTGTCGGATGACAAATGAATAAGCTTGTAAAAATTCAACCCATTTGGCATGACGAGGGTTGAGCTTCTGTTTCCCCTGGATGTATTTGAGTGCTTCGTGATCGGAATAGAGAATAAACTCATTAGCTATCAAGTAGTGATGTCAATAATCTAAACTTCGAACAATGGCATAGAACTCCTTGTCATATGTAGAATATTTACGGCGCGTTTCATTGAACTTTTCACTAAAAAAAGTGATCGATCTCTGATTTTGACTTAGTACACCACTAATCCCTAGGCCTGAAGCGTCACATTCAACTTGAAATACTTCGTTAAAATTAGGGAAAACTAAAACAGGAGCATGTGTGACCCTTTGCTTTAATTCATCAAACGTGTTTCCCACCTCTTTAGTCCAATAGAACTTCTCGCCTTTCATACACTCTATCATGTCATAGGGGCTGTAATAGTACTAAAATTCCTGATGAAACACCTGTAAAATAAGGCTAACCTGTCACACCCCCGAACCGTCGAAACAGACGGCGGAAACGTCCGGGGGCGGGTGACGTCACGTGTAGTATCACAACAGTTGTAACATAGTAAGCGAAGTAAACACAACCATTACATTATAATAAGAATATTTACATTGTTTGAAAACATAATTTGTTCATAACAGTATATAACAAAAGTAAAAGACGTGACTCCAAAATGCTCCGTCTTCTCCAAAAGTTGGCAAGAGTACCTGTCTATTGTTGCCCTGAGAATACAAGCAGTTTTAAAATATCAGCATAAAGCTGGTGAGTTCATAAGCGTTTAGTTCTGGTGAAAGAAATGTTTCTTTGATCCTTTGAAAAGTGTTTCCCAAGAAAATCCTATATTTCTTATGAAAGATGATTGATTATCCATTCGTTATTTGTTTAACAACCTGTTTATGTAAGGTTGAGTTAACCCAGGAAAATCCTATATTTTCCTTAAAAGTTGATAGTTGGTTATCTGTTCTTGTCTGAGGTGTACAAGTAT